GGCGGGGCTCCGGGGGCGGGGCTGCCGCTCGGACTCTCCCGGGCCGGTCTCCGAACATGCAGCTTCTTCTGCCTGCGGCCGGCCGAGCCCAGCCTCCAGCTTTTAAAGCCAGGAGCTGGGGGAGGGGGAGGAAGAGGCTAGCGGAAATGGCTGCGCTGGGCCGGGCCGGGGTCCCTGGGGAGGGGTCCCGGGGAAGCCTCGTTTGGGCGTGCGGGGAGTTCCCCGAACGGCTTGGGGAGGGGCCGCTCAGCGGCTTGCGGCATGGTTGGTCGTATGGCGAGAGGTGGCAACAGGCCTGGCACCCACGCCACTCGGGGGTCACTTAGGGGGACGCAGACGGACTGGTTGGTCCATAGGAGCGCGGGGCGTGTGGCTGCAGAGAGGCGGGAGGTGGAGGGCGATGCTGAGGCAGAGAAAGCACAGTGTGGAAACGCGGTGTGCTCATGGTGCCGCAGTGTCTCCTGCCTCTCGGTCACCCGGGTTGACCCCTTACCCGCCGGAGGGGCCTCCCCCCCGCCTCTGTAGTGGGGCGAATGTTGCTGCGACCGGATGCTGCGACAGGATGAGAGGGGCTGCCATGCCCTTACTCTAAAAATTCGGCTTCATTGGTGGTTTCCACCCTTCCGCGCAGCTGCAGCGGCCCCAGAGGACCCGCAACCAGGCGGATAACCCTTCCCGCGGCCGCCCGTCCGGAGTTTGCAGCCCCCATGACGTCAGGCCCGGCGGCCAATGGCAGGGAGTGGGTCTCTGGGCCACACAATGGCCGCACGCGGGTACATATTGTCCCCAATTAGGGCCCGGCGCCGCCATTGTCCCCTCACCGGCTCCCCCACCCGCTACTGGGGTCTCTCTGCGCCGAACACGCCCCACGCAGCTCGCTGTCCCTGGGGACCAAGGTCGCAGGGCGGTTCGGGACTGCGGCCAGCCCTACTGCACGGGGGCGCGCTCGTCGCCGAGCTCGGTGACCTTGTGCGGATCGGCCGGCGGGCGCGCGCACGGGGGCGCGTCCAGAGTGCTGAGCTCAGCGCCCGCCTCTCGCCGCCTCCCACATCCGCAGCCCCAGGCCCCGCCGTGGTGGGTGAATACGTGGGGACCACCGTTCCGCCCCGTAGGACTCGGCCCCGCGCGGAGCCCCCGGACATTCATCTTGCTTGGCAGGCGCTCCCCAGAGGTGGGGGCGGGGCGGGGCCGCCCCCTTATCGCCTAGCCCCAGCCGGCGAGGCTCACTGCGGGGCGGAGGCGGGGGTCCCCCTCGGCCAAGCCGCTCGTCCGGGCTTCCTCCCAGGGGGTCCCTGGCAGAGGCGCAGCCGGAGGCACAGAACCAATTAGCATTTTGATTGCGGGACTGGGGGGGGGCATCTGGAACCAGGCCTAATTACTCGCAGACCCTCGGGGCGCCAGCAGGACGTGCCAGGCGCGACCCTCTCTCCGGTCGTTCACTGCCTCATCCCGGACACCCCCGCCCCTCGGTCCTTGCGACTCTCCCTCTGTTTGGGTCCACTGGCCCAGTCATCTGGTTGTTCTGTTCCTTTGGGGCCCTCATTCTTACCCTCCTCTAACCCATTCCAGCCTCCTCCTCACCTCTCCAATCTCTTAGTCCAATTCTTCTGTTGCCCCTAACTAATAATCCCTTGTTTTCCCATCCTTCCATCCAATTTCTTGGTCCCCAAATCCCTGTCTTCCTGACCACATCCCTGCCTCTCTTTGTCCATTTCCTCGCCCTTTTGGCTTCCAACCCCCTCGACAGACAAGACGTCTGAGCATGGACACCTGTGTCTCCCTGCTCTGGCACTCCTGGGGGACCATTTGGAAGCCCCTTGCTTGCTTGGCCAGGTGGATGCCACAACCCTTTGGGGCACCGGCCAGGAGGGGTGGCTGGGTTCAGTGCTTGCCCATCAGTATTCACCTGCTCGGGTGCTTTCCCAGTGCCATTACTTAGGTCTTCTTGCCCTGAACATCTGGAGGTCAAGGCCCCAGTATCAGGTCCAGCCCCAAGAGACTGGAGGACGGTTGATGACTGGGTTTCTAGAAAATTTCCACCTCCTCCACCAGAGGACCCCTGAGCCTTTCCTGCTGAAAACTGAGGCCCTGGGATGCTTTGTTACAGGAAAGAGCTGGTAAAGGCCCATAGCTGGTGGGTGCGCTGGGCCCTGCCTGCACTAGCCTCCTAGCCACTCCCTGCAGAACCTCCCAGTGGGGACCTCCTGCTAACCTGGCTCAAGGGCAGCTCTGCTCTGTCTCTCATCCCTCCCTAGTTGGGCATCCCAGTGTTGGCTTATGACTGTTTCCCTCTGCTTGTGTAAGTGCCACTCCCAGTCCTGCCCAGGCCCCATGTTGCAGAAAGACCAGGATTAAGGGGGAGGGGGAACCCTGTTGTGTTTCCATTGCCTCCACCATCAGCCAGCAAAGGCTGAGGGCCTGGTATGTCCAGCCCCAGGTGCTGTGGTCGCCTTCTCACTGCTCTCTCCCAGCCAAATACCAACCTAGGAAATCAGTGGATAGCCAATGACGGAGGGCCCACCTGTCTTGCTGGGTAGAGAGGAGGTGATGGACAGAGAATGGGGAATGGTATTGAGATAACAAGGTGGGCAGTAACTGTGGTGACTGAGTAGAGCATATAGTTGGGAGAAGATGAAGTCATTAGCAGGGATAAGAGATCAAGCCAGGCATGGTGGCACGCGTCTGTAATCCCAGCACTGAGGCAGGAGGATTGCCATGAGTTCCAGGCCAGCCTGGGCTGCACAGTAAGCTCAAGGCCAGCCTAAACTGCATAGTGAAACCTGTCTCACACATACACACACAAAAACAGTGACAAATAGCAGGAGTTCAGCCACAGCAATGGGGGTGGGGGATGCCAACAGAAAGAGCTGGTGCTGGGTGGCTGCTAAAGCAGATGACTTGTACCCCAACCAGAAGTCAGGTAGAGAAGTAGACAGGAGTCTGCAGGTCAGTGATGAATGAGAGAGATGGGTACCCTACTTCTAGGTAGGGGAAGAGGAGCAACCCCTCTCTGGGAGCTGCTGAATAGAACCACCAGATTCCCTCAGGAGAGGATGTGGGGGCCTGGCTGGTGACAGCATGAGCCACAGGGGAGGGTTTCAGAATGAGGGATGTGTCTGAAAAGCATGATGGGTAGGGCAGAAGCTTTGGAAGCCAAGGTCACAGAGCCATAAGAAAGAGTTTGGGTCACAACACAACCATACCTATGTCCATGAAAAAGATAAGCAAAAACAGGCTGGGGATTTAGCTCAGTGGTTCTGGAGTCTGCCTTGCAAGCACAAGATCCTGAGTTAGGTCTCTAATACCAAAAAAAAAAAAATACTAGATGGCACACAGAATTTTCCAAATACTGAGAAGAGGGGAAAGTATTTCAAAACAAAACAATTGGGGCTTTTTGTTTTATTATAGAAAATATCAAATATACACAAAAGCAGAGAAAGCCAGATAGGGGTCCCCAGTGCCAACAACCATCTTGGCCAAAGACCAGCTTAACAACAGTCCATTTCTCTCTCCTTTCTCATTGTTTTGAAGCAAATCTCAGACATCATATCACAAAATGCCTTTTTTTTTCTTTTTGGTACTGGGGACCGAACTAAGGACCTTGCGCTTTCGAGGCAGGCATGGAGTCACAGCTAAATTCCCAGCCCCTGCCCTTTTTTTCTTGATAAATACACAAGAGGTACACATGGGCCTGGAGAGTGGACATGTGGGTAGACAGCTAAGGAGCTGTCCAGTGGAGCCTAGCCTGCTCTGAGTCCAAAAACTGTGATTGGACCTTCTCCCCTTCTTGACAGGGTGATCCTTCAACCTCCTATGTCTCTGGCCTCTGACTGGGGACAAAGGGGCCAGCAGTCTCAAAATGGCCTAGTACCCACTTCCTCCCAAGGAGTCCAACTTTCTACGCTGCTGAGAACCTTGGCCTTAGGCAAGGTTAACTTAATTTCTAACCTGAGATATCATTTCCATACAGTAAAATACCTTAAATATAAGTTTTCCATCAGCTGTGCCCAATGTATAGGTGCTTGTTCCTATGAAGACTAAGGATACTTCTCTTGCAGTACAGTTATTTCAGGCAATTTTATTAACTTTATTTTTTTGGTACATATTTGTCATACATATTATCACATTAATCATAGGAAATTTGTACCTGTACATAATATATCTTAATTCTTTTATTCCCATTCCTTTCCCCTCCTTTCAACCCTTCTTCCCCTCCCCAATTACAAAAGTTTTGTTTCCATTTTTTCCTTCTATTCTTTTTTTACCTTTTCCCTTCCTTTCCTTCCCTGTCCCCTTCCCTTGTTCCCCTTCCTACTTCCTAATATCTATCCTCCATTATGCTCCTTATTTACCCCTTAGGTTTCTCACACAAGAGAAAAATGCAGTATTTAAACTTGTGTGTCCATTTCACTTAAGATTATGGTCACAAGATGCATCCATTTTCCTACAAATGATTCAAATTTATCTTTATGGCAAA